ACCAATATCATAAGTTTGATTATAACTTGCTATTTCCAGAATAGGTTTAATGTATTTAAAAAAAACAAAACATTTTATGGAATTAAAATTATATAATGTTTTTTTCTACTTAAAATACATTGTTTGATGTTTTCATAGAAAATTCTTGGAAAGAAAATGAAAATAAAGTTTTAAAATATATGTTACTTTATCTACTTCCACATTAATAAGCTGTGACCCTATCGCGATTTAGTCAAGAGCTAAAGTTATCAAAAGTAACTTTCAGGCTATTTAGAACGGCCTGAAGTTGGTTTTATTATAAATTAAAAAAAAGTGAGGTTAAACCTGTCTGACAGTTGTCAGATGTCAAATGACATATAAAATTGGACAAATAATTTTGATAAAGTATGGTATGCATCGTTCTATAAACTCTAGATCCTTCGCTCGTGCCTAATTAAATTCGTGACTAAAATGGCGTTTATGCAACTTGATTCATAAGACAGTCACCCAAAAAAAGAGCCAGAGAGTAGACTTAAGCATTTTTATAAAAAATTAAAAATTGTCAATTTTACAAATATAAGTGCATACGAGAAAAAAATCAACGAATTCTTATTGTCATGTTATAAGATATGCAATAATTGAATAAAGCCCATATCTTAATTAATTGAAATTAATTGAAAAATTGATGCTTTTTTTCTCGTTCAAGTGATATAAATTTTTGTTAACCTTTACATGTATACATCACAGTTTTGATTGTGTCAACCAAAATTCATGTCATTCTCGTCTATAGACGATCTATAGAAGATCCGGAAACACTGGATTACGAACACGTGATTACCTAGGGAATCCCTAGTAGGGATATTTGGTTTGATTTATTTGGTGCCTGCTATAATTTAGTTTTCAAAGTATTATTATTAAAAAAATTATTATAAGTTATTTTTTTTATATAATAAGACAATCCTTCTACCGTCTATGGTTTTCTTATATTTGTTTTTTGCTCTTCTCTTGAGACTTTCGCTTCATTCAACATACTGCATATTTTCTGTTGCTTTATTTTAATTTTTAATATTTTTTTTTTATAGTGAACTTCGTTTTACAAAACATAACAATTAATTTTCACATTTCATTTTAATATTTTAACAGCGAAAAGCGTTACCATAGAAACCAACTATTAACTCGTTTAAATACTATTATTTACGTTTTTTAATTGACGTTCTTTTGTTACATTACATATTATTACATATTATGTATTTAGTGCCTTTTGTATTAAAATAAAAAATATAAAATAAGTTTAAAAAATTTCTGTTTTTTTCAATCAAATGTAATAAAATGAGAAAGTAAATTTTGTTTTTGCAAGTTGGTACATATTGCTATTAATGCATAAAATAAAAATGCAACTTCCCTAACCCCTTACCCCGCAATGTACTGCCCGAACCTCCTTAATATACATATAATAATCAAAAAACAAAATGTTAAGAAAATATAGGGCTACAGTTTAACTATGATTTCGCGAAAGAATCGAACGATTTTGGGGTATTTTTTTATAACACATCTCAGATTTTTTTTATATTTTAATATTGTGTTTATACATCTAATTCCACCCTAAATCTAAAATTTTTCTTTTATCTGACCTAAACTTTGGCTCCCAGAGACCATTTAATTTTACCTTTCGCAAAGAGCCATAATTTCATTATATTAGCATAATTTTTTTATTAAAATACTGAATGTTTTGAGATGTGGTCCATAAATGACCATTATTAGTACCTACAATTCTACCAAAAAAAAAATTAAATTTTTTACATATAGGTGGCGCTGAAATTTTTTCATCTTCAAAAATAGACGTTTTTTGAAGACCAAAAACTCTCTTAAGCAATAATGCTCAAAAAAACTATAGTTTATAAATAGTATACCAGATAATATACATATTCCTTTATAATTTGATATATAAAAATTTACTTGCAAATGATGTTGCCGCCCGTAAAGCCAACTTAAAGTTTTGTTTACCGCATTAAAAAAAAATTGAATTACACTTACAACTTTATTCTTATTTATTAACTAAGGAATTCCAGGAGATTACTTTTATTGGTAACAATAACACAGCAAAAAAAAGTTTTATTTTTTCACACCCAGGGGGCGCTGCAGCCTTTTTTCTTTAAAAACTATATATAGCATTTCAGATAATATAGTTATGTATTCCTTTATTTATTTAATAGGTTTGTTCTTTATTTTATTTATTATGTTTTTCTTTATTATTATTATTGATATTACTATTTCTTTATTATTTAACATATAACAATTTATCTGCAAGATTTGCATATATTAAATAATAAAGATATATCCTAATAATTATTATAATAATAATAATTATTACCTTTACATTAAATTTTAAACTTGTTGGGCTCTAAGGGGTATATTCGCTAACTTTTTAGTTATAAATAACCCTGGTTTATATCATACTGGCTGGTTCAAATCTCTAGAGCGATTCCAGAATCAGTCTAGAGATTTTAACCAGGGTTATTTATAACTTAAAAGTTACTTAGGCCGCAAAGGAACTACTTTAAAACTGATAAAACTTCAAAAAAACTTCATCCGCTTCTGGGCTAATTTCTTCAATTTCTTCCGGCAAATTTTTTAATTTTCTTTTTCTATTTTTGCTTAACTTTCTATCTGACGATAATCTTGATAATAAGCCGCGTATCTGATTAGGATGCATATACTCGTTTGAAGAAAACTAAAATTTGCCATTTACTTCATAATTTTGTAAAGCTGTTGCTATATATTCAGGCGTATATTTAATTTTAGTTTTTTCCCCTTCAAAAACAAAATCTTTTTGTTTTTCATTAAAACGTGATTTTTTAATTTTGCGCCTTCCGAACCCTTTTGCATATACTCGAAAAAACGTATTTTTATCTTCTTCATTTGCGCATATATTGACGGTAGATATTGTTGAACTAGTTGCAGTTAAAACATCTGTTTGTTTTAAAAATTCCATTCTAGCAACATCACCTATAGTTTGTCTAATTTCAGGAAATTTATGATTTTGAAATTTAACGTGGTTTAGAAGATCATCTTCATTTTCAAAAACCCTACTGCAAAGTAATTCGTCGCACCTATATTTAATTGCTTTTAAATTATTTAGATTTTCCTTTTGTCGACTCGATGATGTCCAAGGAACTTTCATGTTTACTCCAGAAGAAAATTCAATTCCTAGAATTTTGATTTACTTAAAGAAAATTTATTAACTTTGCGTACCTTTAAAAGCATGATATTTTCCCTCTCCAATTTCAACTTTTGTAATAACGGCAAAATTTTAAAGGTTATTATGGTTACCGTTTGACAGTAACTGTCAACTGTTGGGGTAACTTGATTCCCAGCCTATAGGCTTGACTTTAGTTTAATTACGATAATAAAGAATGCTTTGCCTCTCGAAATATATTAAAATATATTTAAACAAATGGTCATATTACTATTACTATTACTATAGAGTCACTGAAATACTTGTTACCATTTGTAATTAAAATTTCTTTGGGTTTGTTACCTTTTGTCCGCATACAACAATAAAAGCGAAAAAAGGCGTTTATATAACAATATGCGGGTACGTGCACTAGTTATAATTTTAATCGTCCCTACAACAGGCATTAATTATTGCAAATAAATTTTTATATGTCAAACAATAAAAGAATATCTATATTATCTGATACATTATAAATAATGTCATTAGTTTTTTAAGCAATGTTGCTTAAGTAACTTTATGGTCTTTATAAACGTCTATTTTTGAAAAAAAGGCTGCAGCGCCCCCTGTATATAAAAAAATAAAACTTTTTTGCTGCGTTTTAGTTACCAATAAAAGCCATCACCTGGAGTTCCTTAGTTTAAAAATAAGGATAGAGTTGAAAGTGTAATTCAATTTTTTTTAATGCGGCAGACCAAACTTTAAGTTGGCTTTACGGGCGGCAACATCATTTGCAAGTAAATTTTTATATGTCGAATTATAAAGAAATATCTATATTATTTGGTACGCTATTTAGTTTTTTTGAGCATTGTTGCTTAAGAGAATTTTTTGTCTTCAAAAAACGTCTACTTTCGAAGAAAAAAAAATTGCAGCGCCACCTGTATGTAAAAAATTAAAACTTTTTTTTGACAGAATTGTAGGTACTAATAGGGGTCATACATGGGCCAAATTTTAAATCATTCAGTATTTTAATAAAAAATGTATGCCAAAATAATGGAATTTGGCCTTTTTGTGAAAGGCAAAATTAAATGGTTTCTAGGAGCTAAAGTTTAAGTCAGATGAAAGAAAAATTTTAGATTTAGTGTTAAATTAGATGTATAACCAAAATATTAAAATTAAAAAAAAATCTGAGATGTGTTGTAAATCGATCGTTCGATTCTTTCGCGAAATCATAGTTAATTATATAAGTCATAGGCGTTTCAAATTTTCGGGAAAAAACTTATTATCACTCATGCACCCTGTATATACTCAAAATTTAAATTTAAAAAAATATTTCAATAAATGTATTATTACAGAAGAATTAACCTACAATTTAATAAAAAAATCACTAAATTCGGTTTGACGGTTCGCGACAAAATCAATTTTGAAATTGTGGAAAATTTTGAGTGGTGCGTTAAATTTGACGCGAATTATATTATTTAAATTTCCTAAAAATAACTATAATGCATTCAATATTTGAGTCAGAATGTTTTACCATTTTAACGCTTGTTGGGTTCGCGCAAAAAACCTGTTTTGAGACTACATTAAAAGTTCCCGTCTAAATTATTAGGGGGTGTAAACATTTCATGATATCAAAAAGGGGGTGTCATAGAAAAAAGTTAGAGAACCACTGTTGTAGATATTATAGTATTAAATCCCTTGACCTTTTTCCATTACTTAAAAGAAACAAAATAAGACCAACATAACAAAACAAAATGAATTCAGAGCTTTATCTTGACACTTGTATTATTATCTAAACTCGAGATTGTCCCAATTCTTTGGAATCGTTAACAAAACAATAATGTCTTACTTTAAATATGCTGTCAACTTTTTCTTTAACCGTATCTTCCTCTATGCTGGGTTCCGCAAGCTTCCCCATTAGTTCGTAGACAGCGGTAACAATATCGGTCATTTCTTCTCGCGTAATGCAGCCGTCTCCATTGATATCATAGAGCGTGAAAGCCCATCTGAGTTTCTCCTCGAGCGAGCCCCTCGATAGAACCGACAAGTTGTGTACAAAATCCTGAAACACATTTAAAATTTTTAGTACGTTGCGCGCCGATAACAAATTTACCTGGATCAGGGCCGGTTTATTAATCTCTTGTTAGTCTATCTGACAGTTAAATTCCATATCGATCGTTGTGAGAACAATGGTATCCATGGAAATTATCTACCAGATAACCAACTGCAACTTTAACCAGATATTGATAAACCGGCCCTCAATCAAGAATCCAGACTGACAATTTGTTTTGTTTGCAAAAAAAGTTTTTAATGAAATTGTCTGCACACATAATATTATTTTTTTTATTTATTTACAAATTTTCCGCTTCAACCGTGAGGGTTATCAGCGGGATATGGTGGTTTTTGGTACAGTATTAAATTTTGTTAAGGAGTTTAATGTAAACATTTTATTATTTATTCAGTGAGTATTTTGTTAAGTTGTCGTCAAGATGGTGTTTTCTCCCTACGTCGTTGTATAAGGGACATTCGATCTGGATATTTTTTAGGTTTTATGGTTTTTTGCAGTGTGTGCATTAGGGTGTCCCTTATTTTTATTTTTTTACGCATACTCCCAGTAAAAATTTCAGCTCATTCTATAAACGGGAACCCGTGCCGACTTGCATCTGAACCCTCCGTTAGCCAACGTTAGGAGCGCGGTATTTTGTAACACGGTTGTGACCCTTATATTATAAATTATTGACAAATGTTAAAATATAGTTTTATTTATGTGTATACTTTGATAAAAATGTATATTTTCACAGGGAGTGGCTAGTTACCCGGAAGGGTCTGGTGAATAGGCCGTAAACTCTGAAATTGATAAACTTAATGGGTTTTACTCTAAATAACTAAAAGAGTCTATTGTGAGAGATGACTACCGAAAACTTATTGAACTGTCTGAAATATTTTTGGGAGGACACCAAGAAAAGAAATGGTTATAAAAAGCTGAAATTTCATATAACAGTATATTTTAGCAATACTAATTATATTAATATATTTAAGGGATAAAATCAACTAAATTAGTGAAACAATGATAAAAACACAAGCAATAATATTAATTAGTAATCATATTTAATAAAATCATTAGAAAAATACAGTCATGAGGTATATCTTCTTTTTAAAGTGTTTCGTGTTACAAAATACCGCGCGCCTAACGTTGGCTAACGAGGGTTCAGATGCAAGTCGGCACGGGTTCCCGTTTATAGAATGAGCTGAAATTTTTACTGGGAGTATATAAACAAGTAATAAATATAATTAGAGGGTATGCGTAAAAAAAATAAAAATAAGGGACACCCTAGTGTGCATTCTATATGCCTTTCTTTTTTGTCAAGCAGTGTAATGGTTTCATTCACAGAATTTATTATTTGATTAAGTTTGCTATGATTTTTTTTGTCATTGTTCTTATGTCAATTTTTTGACATGTACTTGAAAATTGTTGAGTGTAGTGTGTGCTATTTTGTTTTCTTTGGTGGTTGCGTCAGTGGTTTCTAGTTCTGGTTTTTCGTTTCCCAATATTCCTGCGTGGGAAGGTACCCATATAAAGTAACAGGTATAATTTAATGCTTTAGTTTGGATATTGTATGGAAGGCCCCATCGAAATCGCCATACACTGATGCCAAAATAAAGGCTGTCAGAATGTCCTGTCAAAATAACAGGTCCTAAATGACAGGTGTCTAAATGACAGTTGCCGAAAAACATTGTCCGTTATTTTTCATTAGAACTACGCCAGCGAAGCCGAGAGTACACTAGTGAATAAAACCTTTTTATTAAAATTAATAAAAAGGTGATTCACAAATTTATATTAATTAATTGAGCAAATAACAATTTAGATTGCTTCAATTTTAATGCATTCAATGACAGCGCTGTTCTTGGTACTATGTTAGATTTTTTTCTGTGGATTTTTGAAAAAATTAAGGGTACATTAAAATTCGCCCCCTAGAAATAAAAATTGATGTCTAAGGAATTTTGTCCATATACACCCGTTAAAACGTGTGGGGGGTACAAGTTTTCTTTGGAACACCCTCGGTATAATATCTTTTACAGTAATTGTTCATTGGCTTATTGGAGTCAATGTTAAGAGCATATAATAAATACGATTAAGAGGTTAAAATAAACAAAATTCCTAAATACTGAAAGCGCCACCTACAGGCGGTTTTGACAAGTACTGTAAAGAGTTTTTGTTTTTAATAATATTGTACTAGTCCAGAACGGTTCAGAACCTAAAACTACTGCGACCACAGTTCTGTGCAATCTTTAAACAGTTTAGAATAGGTAACGTTAATATACAATATATTCATGTATAAATACTTATGCATATCATTCAACTTAGTGGCATTTTTCGTCAACCTATATAAGGTTGCTTTGCTTCGTACAGACAAGCACAGGACTACATAGTATGTAGTACATATAGTCTGTGATGCCTACCGAGTAAGGGAGCTTAGCTCGTTTGCTATGATTTTTTTGGGGCACAGGTCGTCCTATGCCCCCTGCTTTCCTTTCCTAGAGTTGGCTCATTAAAGCGATCTGCCTTTTTAATAAATGATTTAAATTTAATATTTATATAGAGCGACATCTATAAAAAAATGGAGTAACTCGCATAACAATTTCTAGCTTGGAAATCTGTATTACCGGCGCGCCAGTCAAAATGTCAAATTTGTACGTGTAAATCGAAATTTACCCCTTAAAAATGGACTAACAACAGTTTAAATGATGATATAGAAGCAGTTTTTCTCAGTGAAAATAAAGAGAATGTTTTATGGGCACTTCACGGTGGAGTCTCCACCCGAAATTTTTTATGCTTTCAGTTAAATCTAGTTTACTGCCGGCAAAATCAAAAGGTCAGTACAAACTTGCATATAAACTTTTAAAATAGGTATTGGCGTTGAGAAACTATTTAATACTTTTTATTTTTGTATTAAGATAATAAAATAATTTCCACATTATTATTTCACAAGACGGGCACTTGATTTTAACGATTGTAAGACATTTAGGGTTCGATTTTATCCTTCATGTGCTGTGCATCGCTCCATGAAAAAGTCTGAAAATAGTTGACTTTGACCAAGGAGGGATAAAATGGGGTTCCGGTATAGAAATATTACCGGTATTTCTCGACAATATCGCAAGCTTTGACCTTTGAGCGAGGTATTTTGTGATTTTTGCAGTCGAAAGAGAGAATAAAAAGTATATAAGAAGTATGACATTTAACAACTGTCAACTTACTTAAAGCTAACTTCAGCTTGTGACTAAAACGCCATAAAGCCTTGTCAATGTGTATTAGATTACTTATTGTCATAAACATATGTACGATAATGGGCGTTTTAAAGGTAGAAAAAACCTTTACAATATTTATTACAAATGTAATTATGTATTATAAAATTTTTGTTATTAATAATTTTTTAGTTTTAAAGTTTAATTTGTTTTCCAATTTGTAATACACATAGACCTGTACAAATTCGTATATTGTTCCCGTACTCCGGATTTGCCGGTAGACCGGATTTGTTAGGTTTTAATTGATCGGCATTTGCGGAGCGTTACTGTATTTGTATTTAATGAATTACCAACATTAATTAAGCCACCTTGAAAATAGGCAATACATCCGTGTATTGCCAACGATTATGCTAAATCATTAAAAAACAGTTTGTATGCATTTTCCGGAATATCCTTTAGTCCCTTTACAGATTTATTTATTTATTAAATTAACCATTTTTTGCACGAAGAAAAGCAAAAAATAACCATTAATGCGCAGAACACTAATCCAGTCAAAATACAATTTCACACTTTAATGTGCTGGAGCACCGACCATTTTAAAAAATCTTCAAAATCAGTTTAAAAAAATTTAAGGAAAAGTTGTGCATTGAGTCGATGAGGCAAAATAAGTGAAATATTTTGCCATCAATTATGCCAACCCATATGTTGACAAAAAACCTATGTTGAAAGCACTTCTGTCATATTTATTCTGTGCCCAAACAAGGAGATTCTGGAAATTTATGACTCCAGTTTTACAAAAGATCGCTTCATATATCCATATAATTTTTCGGACGAAATTGGGCTCTCTTTCTGGTGATTCCAGGACCCACCTATAAAATGCCATTCTTCTATCTGCATCTCCAGGAAGAAGTTCTTGAACCTGACGGTAATGGTAAGGTTTTTGATGGTCGTCATGAAGAACTCTAAGAATATTATCCTTTAATATATTTTTATTCTTAAAGCAGCTTTCCGGAAGGTCAACCCAGGATCATTTTGAAAAGTGCACGTCCATTTTGTTTATTATTATTTCGAAGTCTCGAAACCTCTGGTAATTTGTAAAATTAATTTGTCTTAACCATTTGGATAACCTTTAATATAGAATAACAGGAATTAACTTATCTTTAAACGCTACGAAATACACCATAACAAATGCAAAACGCAAATGATGCTTGAAGACTTAAACGGTGTGTCGTCGTCGCTGCAAAATATCCCCACTTTTTCAATGCGTTCAGATGAAATCGGTACTATATAGTGTGACCCATTTGTGCGACTCACCCCTGTAAAATATTTATTTATTGTGCGATTTTAACGGGATTTGTTTTAAAGTTTAGATCTTGATAAACTGTATTTTTGAGCAAAAAACGCCATATTTTACAAAATGCAAGGCATACTATCTTAGTTTATGAGAGTAAATTTTTAAGAATTCATATTAGCGATTTTTTAAAAGAAAATCTATGCACAGCACTGGATTCACTACTTTAATTTTATTGAACAACTTTAAGTAGGAGTTAAATTAAAAATTAAATTAAGTTATCCATGAAAAAACATTGGAATAAAATTAAATTAACACGAAATAAATATTACTATGGTTAGTTTTGACAAATCAAAAACGCAATAGAAATTAAAACTACAATGAAACAAAAAATAGAGAATTCAAAAAATTCCCTACAATTAGATTTTCGTCACCTCTAATGTACAAGAAAAGTGTGTTTTATGGAAAACTTGACAGAATAAATTTTTGTAAAAAGTAATTATTGTGCATTTTAAATTTAGCTAAAA